CTAGTATCAGTTTGTTTCAGGAAATCACCCTCTTAGCTATTTAAATAAACAAGAACTTTTTCAATCATATATAGAAAAAAGTTATCAGTAATGGTATGTTTTAAAAAGATGTTTTATTAGTGTAAGCTATGAATTATAATGCTTATATTTGGAATTCTTAAAACAGATATTTCAGAATCATAGGATTTACTATATGATAAACTTAACCATATATCATATTAGTATACAAAAGGCTATGTCAAAAACAAAGAATGAGTATTTTACATCACCTACAACCTTTTGGTCAAAGGTAAAACTTCTGAATCATGGTAAACATTAAAAATGCATTCATTAATTATGGAAGCACACATATATTTATTAGCAATTTCTCTATAAAGGGATAGCACTTTACATGATGAATGTTTTCTTGAAGTTAACACTTAAACACACCAAAGTTCACTAATTTAAAGTCACTGGTAGATTCTTCTGTAAAACAAAGGATAAACCCAATTCAACAAATATTACTGTGTTCCTTCCATATCAAACCAAAAATACCAGAGACAGGGTTACAATCATTAGGGTTGGTAAGTATTTTTTTAAAAAGTAAAACTATACAGCAGCTCTCCATTAGTGGTTTCTCTTTCCACAGTTTCATTTACCCCATAGTCAACTGTTGTCCAAAAATATTAAATGAAAAATTCCATTTAAAAAAAAAAAGAAATAAACAATAACCAATAAGCTTTAGATTAAGCCATGACGAAATCTCTTGCCTTCCTGCTCTGTCCCTCTCTAAACATAAATTATTCCTTTGTCCAGCATATCCATGCTGTATAGGCTCCCTGCTCATTAGTCACTTAGCCACCTCAGTTATCAGATTAGCTGTAGAGGTATCACAATGCTTGGGTTAAGTAAACCTAATTTTATTTCATAATGATTCCAAAGCACAAGAGTAGTGATGCTGGCAATTCAGATGTGCCAAAAAGAAACCTTTAATAAAGTGCTTCCTTTAAGTGAAAAGTTTTGTATGAATAGGAAAAAACAGTATATATCGGGTTTGATACTCTCCTAGATTTCAGAAACCCACTGGAGGTCTTGAAATGTGTCCTCCTGGGATAAGAGGGGACTACTGTAATACAATAATCACTGAAATGCAAGTAAATCGACCCTGGCTGCATATCAGAATCACCTAGGGAGCTTTTTCAAAAACACCAAGGCCCAGCCTCTACCACTCCTCCTCTGCCAGGCCCCAGGAAATTTTGATTTACCAGTATTTTTTTAAATGGCCTTCAACTGATTAAAACCAGGGCTGTTTGTTTTATAGGGGGCCAGTCCAAGAATAAAAATTTCCACAACACATGCACACATAATGAAAGCAATATCCTCTTCCCTGCCTCCCTCCCCTCCCACAGGCCTCAAATCCTGTTGCCACTGTTAGAGAAAAGGGGGAAAATGGGTCTTCTAGAGAATGTGAACAGTTTGCAGTAGAAAAATAGAAGAGGCTCTGGAAAGCAGAGATAGTTTAGGGCAGCTGCCCTATGGGGCAAATCACCAGATGGGCTATACTGCTTACACTGCAATTTCTCCCCAAATGACTACATTTTCCCCCACTTTACTATACTACCTGAAATTCCATCACTATGGACTCAATTACCTTAACAATCATTTTCTTATAAAAATGCCAATGGACTATAAACACCAGCTTCCCCTGTAAGTCTGTTTAATGAGATTATTTTTCTTGCTAATACCATGACAACAGCAGATGGATTTAAGGAAGCAATGTTCTGTTAGTGGAGATGGAAGGACAGATATTCTTAAGTATGAAACACTTTGGGAAGCAATACATACCTAAGTGACTCAAGAACATTTAATGTTAAGGCACTGAACAAAAAGGCAAGAGAAAATATGAGATCTCTTCCAGCTCTGAGATTGTAAGATTCTATGAAAATACCAAAGACAAGAATCTCCTCCCACTTTCCTCTCCTACATAAAGATTCCTTCCTCCTAAGACACAGATCTCAGGCTAGTGCAGCTAACACATGAATTTTACTACCTATACTTTTAACACTACAAACTACTCAACTACTGTTAGGATTATAAATCTTACTTTTAAGACTACACATTAGTTATAATTTGAGTGTGTCTGGATTGATTTAGGTTGGCCACAAGTAAATCTCTTCAGTAAACAGTAAATATTAACTATGCAAGTTAATCAGCAGGCATCTAACCTATCTAATGAACTGCTGAAGAAGAGTAACTTACATTATTATAGCAGTTGTTAGACTGCTGAGAAAAACCGAAATGATCCATGCTTAGCTTGAAAAAAAGCATTTTAAAACTGACACAGCTAAAGCAATACTTATAGGCAATTGTGTAGCCTTAAATGCTTACATTCAAAACAAGAAAAGCTGCAAATTAAATGAGCTAAGCATTCATTACATAAGTTTTAAAAGTTTCCCACAAAGAAAAAAAAAAAATAAAGAGCAGAAATTAAGATCCAATAACAGCTATTAGTAGTGGATTTAATGAAGAAATGAACAAGAAAATCATGGAAATACAAAAAGAACCATATGTATAACCAGAAACACTAATGAAATTAGAAACTCCATAGTAACAAAAATTCCTTTCACACTTTTAAGACTCCCTTGAGAATCTGATGAAAAAGTATATGCTTACCCCATAAAACTGTAAGCAAACACAAACTGCTGCATAAAATCTTAAAGAGCTCCAGGGTCCCTGATGCCCATATATGAAATGAGTAGGAGTTTCAGATAAAGATAACTTCAGGACACCCAAAAGTCAGTAAAGGTTAACGTAAAAAGAAAAAAATGAAAATGTCATCTCTGTAAGATGAAAATAAAATGCACACACTAAATTAATACCACTACTACTACTAAATTGAGACACCCAGCAGTAAACTTTTCAGTGGCTTAAATTATGAGTCAAATCAAAAGAAAAACACCTATCCTTCAAGATTTACCTGAAATGGTACCTTTCTCATTAAACTGCCTGCCGCTACTGCTTCCCAGCCCAAAGCCGTCTGCACCTGCAGGCCGCCTGTCTCGCGCGCACCGCGGGCCCCGAGCAGGTGCCTCCCCTTCACGGAAGGCTGAGCCGTCCGGGAGGCAGTAACCTGGCGTCTGCACCTGCAGGCCGCCTGTCCCGCGCGCATGAGCCGTCCGGGGAGGCAGTAACCTGGCGTCTGCACCTGCAGGCCGCCTGTCCCGCGCGCACCGCGGGCCCCGAGCAGGTGCCTTCCCTTCACGGAAGGCTGAGCCGTCCGGGGAGGCAGTAACCTGGCGCCAGCGCCCCGCAGGCCGCCTGAGGGACACCCGGCGCGGCCACTGACGCATCGGGGCAGCGAAGAACGAGAGTCTTTGAAACGCAACGGTTTTTGTATACTGACAGTAATACTCTGAAATAAGTGCTCCTAAAAGAACATGGATAACTTATAATTAAGGTCTGTGAAGCTCAGGAGAAAAATAATGGAGGGTTAGGGTACGTTGGTGTGGCAGTAAAACAAAGCAAGCGGATGCTTTGGGAAATAAGGAAAGAATACATAAATAAACTCGGTATTCGGATAAATGAAATAATGAACCTCCAACTTGGGTGCTATTTTAACAAAAATCAAGTGCACATTTTCTTATCCAAGTACATTTTCACTTTGCTGTGTCTGCTGGGTCGTTTGCTTAAGACATCAAAAGCAAGTTTACTTGTGAAAATTTTCATCAGTTTCCTCCAGACGCAAGAGGATCTCCTCGGCGCACTCCAGGGACGGCGCGCCGGTGATCTTCTCCTTCACGCTCTGGAACAGCTGCCTCAGCATCGCCGGCAGCGCCGCCGGCTCCTCGCGGGGCAGATGAGCCATCCTGTCGGAATCAGCGCGGCGCCGTTAATCCGGGTCCGAGCCAACGCT